ATTGATTAGTGATTGGCTATCCATTGTTAAGCTGTAAGGTGGGGGTTATAGTATCTTGTGTGATGTTATTAGGTTACTTTATAGCAACTTGTGACAATAACAAGCAGATTCAAAAGATGAATACATAGCTCAAAGAGGGAAATAGGATGTGATTGCAGTCTCATTTTAATGCCTCTCTGGGCCTGATAATTAAAAGGACTTCATTCCTCAGATTAAAGAGTTTTATTTTGTTTTTTTCTTACAAGATATGGCACATGAGCCCAATGTGGTCTACTGCCTGTTTTTATAGGTAAATTTTACTGGTACACATTCATGCTCATTTGTTTACATGGTGTGGATGGCTGTTTTCCTGCTACAAAGACAGAGTTGAATACTAACAACAAAGACTGAATAGGCTGAAAAGCCTGAATTATTACTGTCTGGCCCTTGACAGAAAAAGTTTGCCAAGGCCTAAATTATAGCATGTTGCAGATATTAGGAGACTGGAGAGACTAATGGGTAAAACGGAAGGATTTTATTTAGATACATCAATTTAGTGGATTCGCATTTGAAAACCGAGCAAATGACAAAGAAAATAGGGTACCTTTTATACACCTAGGATAATGCAGCAGCAAACATGTTTACAGAAGCCAGAACAAAGAACAGTTAATTAATTTGTAACATGTTTTGTGATGTTGAAAAGTAACATCTTGAGAAACACACTCCAGAGTTTTTATCTGCTCTGTGACCTTGCAGCAGGTCAGCAAGAAAAACAGGAATTTTTAGATGCCTGGGAACTTTGCTAAGAATGTGGAGAGGATAGATGAGGGTTACATGGTTTGCAGGAAGGCAGTTTAATATTTTGCCTTAAACAGAGCTGGGAAGGAATTATTTTAAACAGCGCACAACACAGCAAAATTTACTTTATTATATAGCAACTATAGTTATAAGAGTTTGTTTTACTATTATTACTATTATTTAATTTTCTTCTTCAAGCACAGCATTAGGGCACCAAGCCTCCAGATCTGACCCTATTCCTAGCTTCTGGGGCTGTGGGCAAGTTACTCAACTCTTTTAAGCTTTAGTTTTCTCATTTACAAAATGGAGGATACTGAGGATTAAAATTTTTAATTAGATAAAATATTTAAAACCAGTACCATCCTTGCCCCATGGCCTGAAGATATTGTGGACAGGCCCATACAAAGCATTTAGCAAAGTGCCTACCACAACAGGAAGCGGTCACTAGACACACAAACATATAATGCAGCTGAATATTTGCATTGCTAGCTTCATTATTCTTCTGCCACTTTGTGGCCATTGCTGTGAAGTTGTTGTAATCCCCGTGTTCTCCTTCCACTTTGTTATAAGTAAAATTTCAATGCCACAAAAGAAATAGCACTTGAAGATAAATCCTCTCAGCAAGGCAGTTTACTGCTATAGAAGGGTGTGGCTCATGGATAGAGCAATCGTGGCCGCACGCCTGGACAAGCAAGGAGGAGGTACTTGTGTCTGATGGGGGTCATCCCTACTGCTGTATTTTTCCCCGATTGGCTAGAGTTAGACCGCATAAGCTAGTCTAATCTCGATTGGTCCAAGCTGGAATGGTAGAGTGGGTGTTTTGGTGGGGAGGATGATTATGGGCAGGTCAGAGCAGGTAGTCAGGCCTTTAACCTAGGTCAAAGAAGGTGACTGGAGCAGGTGACTGGGATGAGTCAGGATGGAACCAGGGGCTGGGGGAACAGATGTGAACTACCGATTAGAACTGGTGGAGAAGGTTGTTTATTGGAATTACAAGGAAGTTAAACTTTAAAATAAAGGATTAAATAATAAAAGAGCTGAACATACTGACATACTGATTCTTTGAAGGTAAACTTGGGATTCATTATAAAACCTTTGTTCTGCCAGATGGTAGCTCTGTTCCTATAAGGAGGCAAAAAATGACTATTGAGATGTCATGAATGCAGTAGTCAGGAAGAAAGTAGGTGATATTGTGTGATGAGGTGTTAGGAACCAGGAATCAGCTAGCCAAGTCAAATCCCCTGCAGAAGGACAGCACATGGAGTGTGGGCTCTGGAATCTGAAATTCCTGGGTTTGTATCTTTGCCCTATTATTTACTAGATGGGTGACCTGTAAACCAAAAAGTATCTGAGCCAGGTCTCAATCAATTTAGAGGTTTATTTTGCCAAGATTAAGGACATGCCTGGAAGAAAGGAACATGGAATCACAGAAACAATCTGCAGCCTGTGCCTTTCTCCAAAGATGATTTTGAGTTTGTTAGTATTTAAAGGGGAAAAAATAGGTTGGAGGGGAAAGTGGGACTGTATGGTCACATGACTGAATCCACATGTTGGCAGAGAAATGAAGCAGGTAGGGGAATAGTCAATTATGTATTCTTCCCATGCTCAGTACATCAGCACTTTACATAAGATAGGGTGAACCTAGAGTAGCTGTGTGTGGAGATAGTAAAGCTTTTATCTGTAGCTAACTGCTTAGGAACAAAAGGAAAGGTAGTTTCTTGCATGATTCAACTTTCAACTTAATTTTTTTTTTCCTTTTGGCATAGTGAATTGAGGTCCCAAGACCTAACACTATCATAGACTTAAATCAGCAAGTCAGTTAACGTTCCTTTTCTTTAGTGTTTTCATGGGTTAAACATTAATAAAGGTGATCCATAGGGTTTTAAGGATGTACTGAAATCAAATATATAAAGTGTTTGTCACAGAAGACAGGCCCCACAAATGTTAGCTGTTAGTGGTGTTGCTGTGTGTAGGCAGGAGTGGGGAGAGAGCTGGCATTGGAGATGTGGGTATTGGTGTGCCACATTCCCTATGCATTTCAGGTCTTCTTCAAATGTCAGTGAAGACTTCTGTGACCGCCCACATTAAAATCTCAACCTCCTCCTTCCCTTGATTTTTCTCCATGTAACATATCACCGTGTACATGCCCTATTTTTTTTTTACTTAGTTGCTAGCTATCATTCCCCACCCATGTGCATTCTGCAAGGATAAGGATTATTGTCTCTTTTGTTCACTGATATGTTCTTGATATCTGTAACAGCGTTAGGTACACAGTAAAATGTTTGTTAAATTTGATAAATGAAAGAACAGAGCCCAGAGGGCTTCATGGAGTGCCCTGCTCGGTTTGGGTTGGGAGCATCTGGGGTTAGAGGAACAGGGGGCAAGCAGCTCATGAACTTGACTAGCCATTGTAGTCAGGCAAGTAAATGACACCAGCAAGGTCAGTTGTACAATATAAATAAGATTTACAGAAAAGCTCCATGCCTCCAACTGTCATTGAACAAGAGAGTTGTGGAAGTGAGAATAGGTTTTTGGTTTGGGTTTTTGCTCTTACATTAGAGACTCTGTTCTGACAAATGCAAGGCTCTTGCAAGATATCTGTAGCAATCAAATCCAATGCTTGTGGTAAGGGGAACATGGGTCTCCTTAGCTCAAATCATCCTCCTCAATGGGGAGTAGGATGTTGACTCTCTTTGGACAGACAGTGAACCCTAAACTTGATAGAGCTGTGCTAACCAACTTACGGGACTTGAAGAAAGAAATTAGAGTTTCATCTTTATTCCCAGGGTCTCCCAAGTCAGAAACCTCAGATGCTTCTATCTTGTTTTTCTGCTATTGATACAGAGAACAGAAGGTGGAGAAAAAAGTTTTTTAAGGAGGTGTGTTTAGGAATGAGAATATGTAGTTGTTTCTGTTAACTAGAGCAACCTGATTCACTAGACTGGAGTTGTTTGATCGTGGGGCCTGTGTTTTACTATAAATACATGTTTAGTGCCTAGAATATTGCCAGCCACATAAAAGAAAGAATGAATAAATAATAGAACATTTATAGGGCCATATTTACTTGGAGCTGTATTAATACTTCCAATAGTAATAGTTTTAATATAGGATGTCTTTACACAAGCTTGCTTCTTTCTTAAGATAGTCTGTAATAATTTGTAGTTATCATTTTTGGAAAGAATCACACCTGTAATCTCAGTACTTTGGGAGGCCAAGGCAGGTGGATCGCTTTAGCCTAAGAGTTTGAGTCCAGCCTGGGCAATATAGTGAAACCTCATCTCTACAGTAAAATACAAAAATTAGTTGGGTATAAGTTGGCAAATGCCTATATTCCCAACTACTGGGGAGGCTGAGGAGAGAGGATCACTTGATCCCAGAAGGTTGAGGCTGCAGTGAGCCATGATCATGCAGTGAGCCCCCACACATAGCAATAATGGGTACATATATAGAACTAGAAGCTTATATTCTTCTATGTCTAAGTGGCAGGCGGGAAACATCTCTTTGGGCACAGAGATGATGTGAGGGACCATGTAGCACGAAGCCAAAGGCTTTTAGAGACGTAATGCTGATATGCAAAGTGCTACTCAGGTAACACGTGAACCCTGTGTCTACTGGTGAAGCTAGGCGTGTCAATACAGCTTGTCTGCGATGAGCTCCAAGTTGTGAAGTTCAGGAGTCACCCTGTGGGTATATTTTCCAAAGTGTAAGGGCTTCAGCTGGCCCTGGAAACAGAAAACAGTCCTCCTGGGTGACCAGCATTTCTTCCAGGACCTGACACAGAGCTGTCAGACACTGTCCCTACAAAGCTGTGATGTGACCTGCTGGAGCAAGACTCCAGATTTGGACACATGGTGCCAATAGGGTTATACAATGACGGTGACATGAGGAAGTTTGGATCAGAGAATCCATTCAGGACCCGAGGCTTATATGTGGGACTTCTCATGATGCCTGAGCTGCTGAAATCCAGGGCACTTTGAGCCTACAAGATGACTCTATCATTCTCTACACTGAAGAAATAGCAAGAAATATTTCTACAAGAAATAGCAAACATGCTAGTGCAGCGCTTTAGAGAACCAGCACGTTAATGTTGTCCAAGGCAGGGGAGTTTATATTTGTTTCTCTAGCACAGGACAAGCTTTATTTGAAAGTTATATAGGAGATAATGTTGGCGGGAACCCCTTGCACCCCCAAAGTAATCCTTTTCCTTCCACCCTGTTTTCCAGCATGGGCTACTGCATCCTTTTTGTGCACGGACTGAGCAAGCTCTGCACTTGGCTGAATCGATGTGGGGCCACCTCCCTGATTGTGTCCACTGTGTTGCTGCTGTTGCTTTTCTCTTGGAAAACTGTGAAACAGAATGAAATTTGGCTGTCCAGAGAGTCCCTATTCAGGTATGACTAGACAGATCAAAGTAAATATCTTCCTCTTTATTTCTTTACTTACAAATTGTTTCCAAACAAATGAGGTAACATGGGCCTGGCAGTATTTACTAAGGAAAATTGTCTATAATAAAGTTTTAAATGGAAGATGGGATTTTATGTGGGATTTTAACTTTAGATTTTAAAAATGATATATAAAACTTAACAGGAGCATTTTAAAAATTATATATAAGACTTAACATCAGCTCATTTTAAGTGAATTTATGAAAAGAAGGCTCCTGGGAAAGTTTTTGAGTCTGTGAATTCAGATGGAAACAGTTTTAATGATGAGCTGGGCTGTAAAATCAGCTATAAACAAAATGAAACCGATAAGCCTAATTTCATTGTTCAGTCAAGTGCATGGGAAAGGTGAGCACATAGCCAGAGGGAAGAGAAATGCAGTATCTTTCTTTAGAATATTCCAGCATGCTACCTTGTGATCTGTGACCTAGTTGCTTTATTTTGAACATTAATTTTGAACATTCTTTGAGACTGCCACTGATGATGCTGTGCTTCTGGGGTTTAGCCTCACTAAATGCCACAGCCCTGGAGACCTTCACCTGGCTCTCTTGGCACTGCCACACCTGACACCCCAACAATATTTGCCCAGTCCCCCAGGAATCCCCAGTTTGGGCCTCTTCTAAGCTTCTGTCCTCACTTACAACCTAATTGGTCAATTTAGTCAGCATGATTTTTACTTGGTTCCCTGATTAGCTGGTACGCAACACTTATTCTTTGGGGGCAAACAATTGAAGCAGAGTTGATATCACTTAAGAAAAGGGGAAACTGCTGGAAGACGCTAGGAAAGCACACAGAATTGAAAGGAAGTGAAGAATGCGCATGCCCGAGGCAGGAAAGCGGCATCTGGACAATTCGTCTTGAGCACCCTCTCAGAAACAAACAGGTAAACTTAACACCAGTTTTTTGAATCTACACATCAAAGTCCTAGGAAAAGAAAGTTTTCTGGTTGAACATAAGATTAGGTAACACGCCTACCCCTTATCCCAAGCAGAACACTGAGATGACTGATCTGACCAAGAAGCAGCCTCTGAGTTCCACGGAGGGAGTTAAGGCAGGCAGAGCCTCTTGGGATTACGCCCAGACTTCTCAAAGTGAGGCAAAAGGGAGTATCCTAGCAGGAAATCCAAGCACCGTAAGAAGGGGGAATAGTCTGTGGGCTGCCAAAAATAAATGAACGAGTAAATGAACAAATAAGACAGAGGTTTCCTGCACTCTTCTACTATTTTTAAATAATGTATTTTTTGTGTCATATTTTTAAAATGTTAAATTACCAAATATGTACTTGGCAATTTAACATTTTTAAAAATATGAAACAAAAAGTCAGTTTGGCATGCATATCCTATTATTTTATTTATTATTACGTATCATTGTCATGATCATTGTTATGATCTTTTCAGCGTGTATCGTAAGGAGCCGTTGCAATATAGAAGTTTTTGTGTGGACTTTTTTTAATGTATCTTTTTTTTCCACACAGATCTGCAAAACTACTCTTTGGTATCAGATTCTGTTAAGTCTCTGTCATACCCTTTCTATTAAACACAATTCTCACAGATCACAACAGACACATTTCTTCCTTCTGCCTTATGCTAATTAAGGTTATTCTGTAAACACAGGGGTATTGAAGTTCAGTAATGTAACTTCCTCCAAGTCTCTGTTGGCATAATTTTTTCTTCCTTTCTCTTTCAATAGTCAGAGCTTTTATGAGAAACTTTAAAACAATTCTGCTCTGTGTTAAACCTTTTGCCTGAATAAAGGTACTAATAGTGGTTGTATTTTCTAATGATGTTGACGGCTTAATCAGAGTAGCTTTGGGAATGGATTTTGGCAGGCTTAGTTCTCAAACCCTTTACAGCTAATCTCAACAATGTAAAAAAAGAAAAGATAGCTGATTAACCTTGAATCTGGAGCTTCTATTCTTTTAGATGGAAGTATGTAGTGAGTATCCTATCAATTGATGTCTAAAACACAACAACATATGTGCTTAAAGTGATTTTGTAACTGAAGAGGCCTTTGGTGGTCAAATGGAATTTTTTGTAATGTGCAAATCAAAGCTATTGATATGTTTTAGAAATCTTTGCCTATTATCATTTATCTGTGTCCTGAGAAAACTTTTAAGAATCTGAGACTTTAAAAGACTATTAAAACTGTTCCTAGCCAGGAGTGGTGGCACATACCTGTAATCCCAGTTACTCAGAGGCTAAAGCAGAATTTCTTGACCCCGGGAGGTAGAGGTTGCAGTAAGCCGAGATGGGGCCATTGCACTCCACTCTGGGTAGTAAAAGCGAAACTCTGTCTCAAAAAAAAAGAAAAAAAAAAAAAAAGACTGTTCTTTTTCCTTCAAGGCTAGACCAGATGTTTTTATGAATTCATCTGTGCTAAGTAATGTTCAGATCAGTCAAACAAACATTTACTGAGAATCCATGAGGGAGGCACGCTGAGGTTAGCGGTTGAGTATGGGGTCTAGAGTTAGACTTTCTGGCTCTGCTCCAAGTTCTACCATTGAATAGCTGTGTGACCTTAGGCAAGTTACTTAACCACTCTGTGCCTTAGTTTCTTCATTTTATTATCTAGAATACTGGTCTTTGTCTCCTGAGTATAGTATAAGAATAAAATAGTATGTGAAAGATACATGGGACAGTTTCTGGCATGTGGGCAACGCTGTGTAAGGTTTCCAGATTATTACTGTGCAGTGTGTTCTAGGATGAAAGAGAGAGAGTGTGTGCATAGAGGAGCTGGGACTCTGCATGGAAGGCAGACACATGAGCACATTTCATTGTAATGTAGTGTTAAACTCAGAGCACTATGTAAGTACAGGCAGGTGGGTAGGTGACTAAGACTAACTCAAGCCGTCAAGGGTCGTTCTCTTGCAGGTCTGAGCTGAGTATTAAAAGAGGAGTAAAACCTAAATTAGCCATAATGGCCCAAAACAGGAGCTGTCTGAGGTGAGTAAGAAAAATTTGCAATAATTCTAGAGATGGTGATGCCCTTGGCAAAGACTCCATCTTCCCCCCGTTCCAGAAAATAAACCCATAGACCATTCCTAAAACATATGGCCTCACTGAGACCTCTCTAATTAGCTGAGATGGTTTGGTCATGGCCATTCCATGAGCAATCTTATAGAATATCTTAAGATAGAACTTTGTGTTGGAGAAAATACAAATTTTGTCAAGCTCTAGCCTTTCCAGCTGAGGCCGCCTTTCACACAAAAATCCCACTATGTGATGTATTTTTAGGAGATACAGATAGTGTTCCTGCACAATTTTATACAGATACAGTGTTCCTACACAGTTTTATTTTATTTATTTATTTATTTTGGGGACAAAGTCTTACTCTGTCACCCAGGTCGGAGTGTAGTAGTGTGATCATGGCTCACTGCAGCCTTGACCTCCCAGACTCAAGCAGTCTTCTCACCTCAGCCTACCAAGAAGATGGGACTATAGGCGTGTGACACCACACCTGGTTAATATTTATTTTTATGATTTGTAGAGACCAGTATCACTATGTTGTCCAGGGTGGTCTCTACTCCTCGGCCTCTCAGGGTGCTGGGATTATAGACATGAGCCACTGTGCCTGGCCAAAACTTTGTTCTTCTATCAGCAAGAACCATATGCATAAAAAGCACAAGAACCCAGTACTCATGCCTCATCAGAGATGTGGACAAGGCAAATTGTCTAAGCTGAAATAGCCTTTACAGAAGCCAAGATTTGAACCCAAATCTGGTATAAAAATCAAAGGGTGCATAAACTTTGCCATACCTATATTTTATGTTGTTTTTCACCTAAGCTAGCTCAAGTGTAAATAGAGAGAGAGAAAGATTTATGATCATAGTTGCAAGGCATGTTTTAATTCTTAAAATAAGAAACTGTTTTATGTCCTGATGTGGTAGGTAGATCACTGCATAACTCTGGTTGGGCCTAGTAACAGCCCAGAACCCTACATTGGTTTAAAGTAAATAAATGCCATAATAACATGATTTGATTAGATTGAAGCCTCTTCCCTCTCTTAATCTTCAGTATCCCTAGAAAGACAGAGACAAACATATTTCCTCTTGCATCCAGCTCAGGATTTCTCTAAATCCCATTCTTGAACTGTTTAAGTGATCCACAGACCAGCAATTAACCATTTATGGCCTAGATCATCTTCCTATTCTGTAGGAAAAACTGTAGTTCTCTCTCCTCTGAATTGCTGAGGCAAAGAGTTTAGAAATCTCCCAGGGAAAGGAATATAAACCAGGTACTGACAAATTTGTTTGTAAAGGTCAGATAGCAAATATTTTAAGCTTTGTGGGTCATACAGACTTTTTTGCAACTATTTAACTCTGATGTTGTCTTGGGGAAGAGACTAAAGACAAAATGTAAACACATGGACACATTTGTGACCCACAGGCTGTAGTTTTGCTTGCCAATCATGTAAACATTGTGATAGTGAAATTCTAATGGTATGTCAGTCTTACAGTGCTGATTTGGTGGTTAAGCATCCTGAAGTTGTTGATCAACTTCAGGATTGATTCTGACCATTTATTGGCCTTGGCTGAAATATCTGCTCAACTATTTATTGGGTCTGTAACCTCACAAAAAGGTCTTAATCTCTCTGAGCTTCAGTTTCCTGATCTGTAATATGGGAGGCCCAGTAATACTGCCTATTTGATAGGTTACAGCAAGGACTAAAGGAAATGATCCATGGAAACTGGTGTTTAGCCCAGCATTTTATTTAAAGTAAGCATTCCATAACTACTGTCCATCCTGTGTGTGGCGTTATCAAATCTCAGGTCAAGGCAGGGGTCAAAACTGAGGAGTGTCACAAATTCTTCTTACTTTCCTTTTTGCTAATCTCTGACTGAACACTATTAATATTTTTATCATGTTTGTTTTATAATTAGGAATCCGGGGATGGTCCTCCTGACCTATTGTCCAATGATGCCAACAAAACAAATTGATGTTCTAAAATCTTGG